ATAGCATATTTTCATATTAAATAAATCATTGCGTAATTTGTTAACCATAGAAGAAAAACGTGGCAGCTTGTTTTGTTTGTAATGCCTTGATTCTCATAATTTCGAAAACTGATGTACATTTTTAACTGGATATATCACTCAGAAGCTTACTGTATTATTTAAAAAAAAAATCTGTAAAAATTATTCCTCTTCTGAAAGACCCTCCTGTTTTTTTCAAAACCTGACTTCAGAATCTGAGTTGGAAAATGAAGAAAAAATCCTAACAAGAGAACAGGTAGGCATTTTAATTGTTGGCTATGGTGAGTTCAAATGGATCTTTATTTTTAAAGAGTGCTTATTTTAAGCACTGATTTTCGTAGAGAGTGTATATTATCATGTACTAGAATACCCACTAGGAAGTTTTGACTTAGAGGAAACACAACAATCTTCTATAATTGAGATGTGTGGGTATCTGTGTTGTACATATGAAAATAGTCGGTTGTATGTCTACCCAATTTAACATCCATCTACAAAGATGTTATTTTTTTTCCAACTAGATTTCATCAGAAAATTTAATTGTATTTTGCATGAATAAATGGAAAATAAAAACTTTTTTAATAATAAAAAAACCAATGGTTAGGAATTTAATTGTATTTTGTATGAATAAATGGAAAATAAAAACTTTTTTAATAAAAAAAAAAAGAAAATTTATTTTATATAGAAATCTTTCTGTACAGGCAACATTATCCTAGATATCAGAGTACATGAATGGTTGCATTTAGTTCCTCAAAGTTAATTGTTAATACCAAAGAGTCTACAACAGACTATTTATATAAAATTCTCATGCATAATTAAAGGCTTATCTACAAAGTATTCTCATACTTTGTATGAAATACGAATAGTTTGGTCACTGATTTAAAAGGTTATTTATAGAAATGTAATCATACATATATGGCTGTCAATAATGCATACTGACCTATTTCTAAAACTATACTTGAAAACATGAAAGGTAGAATCTGTTAAATCCAACTATTTTGTAGCTATATTACTAAATAACATATGAAAGTTTTATGCCAATTAGCAAAGTATTTAAAGTACATACTATTGTGCTACTAGTCTTCTGTAGATCCCGTGTATTAAGATGTATTGTGTGACATAGAATCATGTCTGTATTTACAGTGGTATGATTTCTAATATAAGCCCAAAATAAATCATACTATGCTTAAGTGTTATGTGCAAATATTACTTTAGGAAAGGAACAGGAAAGAAAGATACTCCTTAGATTCTACAAACTAGTCTGATAAGATAATAGATCAGACAGACTGAATGCATTACGCAAGGAGAGCTCTACTTTATGGTCTGCTCCCAGAATTAACGATTTCTAGAGATAACCCATGCTCATTTTTTTGTAGTAAACAAAATAAAGCCAGCCTTGTGGCATCTAAAAGACAAATAAGTTGATAATAGCCTCCACAGATTTTTGAATATTATCATACTGACATAAAACCCATGCATAGATAAGGATAGAAGAAACAGTAAAAAAAGGTGAAACAGAGGGCAAATAGCCTAATTATCTACAGATAGCAACTATTTACAAAACATCTTTTCACTAGTGAACTAATTAATATATTACACTAAGGAGCTTTAGAACCCTTTGTTTCTGTGCAATCCATGGACAGAACTAAGTCACTGCATGAATATTTGGCAATGAAACTGCTCTTTGTAATTTTGGGGGATTTAAGAGTAGATTGCCGGGAGAAATATCAACAACCTAAGATATGCAGATGATACCACTCTAATGGCAGAAAGTGAAGAGGAACTAAAGAGCCTCTTGATGCGGGTGAAGAAAGAGAGTGCAAAAGTTGGCTTGAAACTCAACATAAAGAAAACCAAAATCATGGCATCAGGCCCTCTCAATTCCTTGCAAATAGATGGGGAAGAAATGGAGGTAGTGACAGATTTTATTTTTCTGGGCTCAAAGATCACCTCAGATGGGGACTGCAGCCAAGAAATTAAAAGACGCTTGCTCCTGGGGAGGAAAGCTATGGCAAATCTAGACAGCATTCTAAAAAGCAGAGACATCACCCTGCCAACAAAAGTGCGTATAGTCCAGGCCATGGTTTTCCCAGTTGCAATGTATGGCTGTGAAAGTTGGACCATAAGAAAGGCTGAGCGCAAAAGAATTGAGGCCTTTGAACTATGGTGCTGGAGAAGACTCCTGCGAGTCCCTTTGGACTGCAAGGCGTTCAAACCGGTCAGTCCTAGAAGAAGATCAACCCCGACTGCTCTTTAGAAGGCCAGATCCTGAAGTTGAAACTCAAATACTTTGGCCACCTAATGAGAAGGAAGGACTCACTGGAGAAGGGCCTAATGCTGGGAAAGATTGAGGGCAATAGAAGAAGGGGACGACAGAGAATGAGATGGCTGGATGGAGTCACTGAAGCAGTAGGTGTGAATTTGAATGGACTCCAGAAGATGGTAGAGGACAGGAAGACCTGGAGGAACGTTGTCCATGGGGTCGCGATGGGTCGGACATGACTTCGCAATTAACAACAAGAGTAGATTCAACTCAATGATGGAAAGTCCTGGAAATGTAAAACATTCCTTATTTGTTTAAGGGTGTTGACATTTTTTTAATTCAGTGTCCATTTGGTATTTAAACCAGGCAGTTAATTCTATATAGAGTGCTGACATATCAAGATACAATCAAATAGTAAATTGATGATTTGTGGGCATATAAAATTATGACTTAAGAGTAGCGTTGCTAGTTCAAATATAAATCTGGGTATGCTGCAAAACTTGGTTCCTGTGTTTATATCAATGTGGCTTGTTCTACTCTTGCTGATAATTTGTTGTAAGTTGGTTGGTTGACTACATACAAGTACATACTACCAGCCACAACTTACAAGAAGAAAATGCCACCATCCAAAATGAGCTCAAGAGAATCAATTATACATTTAATTAGTTTTACCTATAAACCATAGATAACATGGTTCTCTTCTTTGGTTTACTGTACTGCATCCCCAGTCACATGACCATGATTCAGAAGCTTGGCAAACGGCTCACAATTACAATGGACACAGTATTCTGCAGTCACAATTGCCATTTATGAACTTCACTGATGGCTTCTGACAAGCTGGAGGAAGTTACAAATAGTGATCACGTGACACTGCATGTAATAACTTGATTCACTTAATGACACCAACCAGAACTACTGCAACTGTTGTCAGAGGTTGGTGTGCTTAGGTGACATCATGCTTCACAATTGCATTGTTTGCAATATTGCTTCTCCCCATCACTACCTGTAAATCTATTCTAATTGTCATAGATTTCAGGCTTATCCATGTTTATTTTATTAATTTATTACATTTTTATACCACCCATTTCACCTAAGTGAGTCTGGGCAGTTAACAGACAGCATATAGGTTTTTTAAAATGTAAACATGATATTTGGATGTATTTTACTTAAGATTAACCCAATACTACATATACTGTATCTTACTGTTGTTAACAAGGATTACTTGGGAATCTAATTTAACTGAGATAGGTTTTGAGATTTTAAGCTTAGCAATGTATATTTACAGGTAAAAAACAGATTGCATAGTTTCTGAAAATGTAAAAGTATTTTACTTAAGAATATAACATATATCAAAAACAGCCAAGTAATCTCCAGACTATATTGGTTTCCACTATATAGCATACAATATAAAGTTTACATAATTATCTAAACATAAACAGTTCTCCCATAGTTCTGCAAAAGTGCATTTAAAAACAAAAAAGAAATACTCCATCAAATACCAAAGTACCTGGAATTCAAAACTAAGCACAGTTCTTTTCTACACTGGTTACATGCCTTATGCCAGGGGTCTTCAAACTTGGCAACTTGAAGACTTGTGGACTTCAACTTCCAGAATTCCTCAGCCAGCTCTGAGGAATTGAAGTCCACAAGTCTTCAAGTTGCCAAGTTTGAAGACCCCTGCCTTATGCTGTATATTATACTTAAATAATTTGCAATGCCTGATATTTGTGTTTTATGTATTATTTTAGTATGAGGCCCTTTAAATACAACTATAGGAGAGGAAAATATAAAAGAATCCTTTGTTTACATTATCAGGTATTTTATTTCTAATATATCACTTGAACATACAATTTCTAATTATTTTGGGGTACAAAATCACTCCTATAGCATTTAGTCACATTATAAGATCTATAAAATAGAACAGCTCCAAAGTTCAAAATAGCGGAAGAGCTACAGATTCATAGAAAAATGGTTCTACCCTGAAGTAAGCTAAACAACAATGGTGAGATTAATTTGTTGCACTTTAGGACTGAGCTGTTAAAATAAAAATGTTTTTCTTCCAGAGGCATTATGTGGAATAATTATCATTCCTCTACAGCATTTTTGCCAGGAACAGGGGCTGCCCTAAAAATCACCCTAGGCATCCACAGCCTCCTATTTTAAAAAAGGGGGAGACACTTTTCTTTTACCAGTTCATTTATTGATGGCTACGCTCAGCTTTCTTCACTTTTTCAAAAGTTAATGAGGATTTTTTAAAAAATAAATAAATAAATTTTAAATATGAACAGCCCAATACAGGTGGAAGCTTTCTTTGCTGTCCCCAGCGAGGCAAAAGTACTAATTGAAAGAGATGACTTGGAAACACACCCATGAAGGTGGAAAGAGCAGCTACCAAAATTAGTTTTTACCACCCTTTTGTGTCCCACAAGCACTTTCAAAATACACGTATTCACTACTCTGTACAGCAAAAAAAAAAAAGGATGAAGAGTACTTCTCGGGTAACCGAGAGCGATCGGCAAGCCCTGCATTCCTCCATAAAGAAGGCCACCGCCATCACCCCCAGCCCCGGGGAGTCCCAGCCTCCCAGCTGACCCTGACCGTGACCGTGGCACCGCTGGACAGCTTTCCATCGGCCCCTGGCAAGACAATTAGGCCCCGAGAGCTCCCAACCCCTTTCCCAGCAGCACAAGCCGGGGCGCTTGGGGGACGTACAAACACCTGCCTCCAAAGCAGGACCCACTCGGATCGGCGTCAGCCTCCGTGGCCGGCGCATCCGGAGCTCGCCAGGCTCTCTCTCTCTCACCCGCTCCGGAGAGGCAGCCGCCAGAGTCCTCCCGGGCGGGCCGGTGCCAGCTCCCGGATAGGCAGGGAGGGGGCGTCCCGCCTGGAGGGTCTGCCCAGCTGGGGGAGCGGCCGACGGGCAGCTGGAGGGCTGCTGGCAGCGGCGGGCAGAGCCTCTTCAGGCTGCTGAGCTCCTGCCTCTGGAATGTCAAGGGCCGGGATAGGATTTCGAAAGATCCGCCATTTTCACTTCGTCATCACCCTCGCAGCCCAGCTCCGCAGCCACCCCGGCCTCCTCCTCCGCCCTCCGGGCTCGCCCCCGCCCCGGAGCCCGCCCCGCCGAGGGAAGCCCTCCCACCGGCAGGAAAGGAGGACCGCGGGAGATGGCCCTTCCAGCCCCCGGCCTCCCTGCCCGGCGGCGACCCGAGCCAGCCCAGCAGCTGCGCCCCGAGACGAAAGCGCGGCTGAGGGGGCGAGGCGGGACCCGCTCCCGAAAGGCCGCCGGGCGGATCGGCCGCCTCGAGTCCCGCGGTACCTTAACGGGCTGTCGCGGTTTGCACAATTGAAAAAGTGGCGGATTTACGAGCAGGAGCTTTCATCTTGAATAGACAGGGCAGTAGTTCTTGCTCAAGGTCCACTTTAAAATGGGACGGAAAGAAATTTTAAACTAGAGAGTCGGGGAGTGGGGGGGGATATCAAACAGTTGATGTTAACAGAAACTGACCTTTAAGATGTAGTGTAGAAATGCGAGAGCAAAAATACAGTGCAGGTGTTACAAGTTTTTTAAAAAATCCTGTGTATTATGGTATCTCAAAAAATATTTACGTGGGTCACTTGCAAAATTCTCAAGAATGAAACTCAAATCAGCAGAGCAAACTAAAGCAAAACCGAAAACAACAAAGAATTACAGAGCTTGAGTGAACTAACACAATACATATTTACTCAGCTGACAGCTATGAAGATGCACAAAGAATTTGAGCCTTGGATTTTTTTGATTGACAGGCACTGCTTCAATAAGCAGTTAGCATACCTCTTAATAGTCAAATGAAAATGGCACTACAGTAGGACAAATGTTTAATCCATGAATGTATTCAAGGTATTCTGTAAATCACAAGAGAAAAATTGTAAAGCCAATGCTCTGTCACAGATAAACACAAGCATAAATACTGGGCCCACACTGTATACTAGCAATAAATATGTGATTCCCAGTTGTTGCCAAATTACAACAATTCAACATCTGGGCAAATTTTGGTTTCCCTTCTGTGTACTAGGTTCTCATCAGCATAAATAATCTTGCCAAACCATTGGCTGCAACAATCATATCAACAAAAACTTCATGCAAAATTCTGTATATGCTAAGCTTACTGTACATATTTATCAGTCTTATAATTTTACAGCAGTTATAATCTCAATACCATCACCTACATGCTAAAATAGGATAAAAGCCTCATTCCATTTTCTACATTGGCATTAATCCAGAGGGAACAAAATAGATCCCATCAGAAGAGAATTTATGTAGCTCTGGGTTGAACTGTGGAGTTCTTGGTGCTCTCTGACCTTGATTGTTTACTTGCTAATGTTACTTGCTCACGGTTTAGTTTGGTAATGAAAAGTCTGCAAGCAAACAACTAAGCTCAGAGAGCATCAAGTACTAAAAAAAAAAACAAGCAAAAATCCAATCCATTTAATTTACATTTAAAACAATTATAATATAGAACAGAAGCTCACAATGTATGGCCAATGTTGTATACACCCCTGAAAAGTTTGGGTTTAGCCTTCAGAGTCTCCACATTCCACTCCATTGAATGGAAGTCAAATTTTACTTTTACCTTGGCATCACTTACTTTTTCATGTCTACTCCCTGGCATGTCAATGAAAGGACAAGCACAGTCCTTGGACTGAAAAAATTACACAGCCTTATTAAAGGATTAGGTTCTTAATATGCCACTACTATGTACTCTGTAGATTTACCTCAAATTCCCAATATCATTTTCACAGTCAACACAGTAATAAAGCAACTTATTAGACAACATTCATATTGGTTTTCAAATATATTTTACATAGTCTTCCACTCACCCACAATGAGTGGCTTTATATAAACCTATTTGGTCATTGGATTATCTATTGCTTTCTGAGGAATGGATCATCATAGTTTCAGAAGATACTACTAATTCTATGGCACTGAAATGTTCTTGCCAAAAGTAGGAGAAAAAGACATCTATTTATGATAAGAACAAATTGAGATTCCTTTAATAGCAAACAAAACCTCTCATTTTCTTTTCACAAAACAGACCTGTTTTCTGAATCCTGATTAGATAATAAAAATAAGACAGCACATGAGATACAGCAAGAATAGTCTGCAAAACCAGACAAGTACAGAAAATGGTACTAAAATATGATGACAGCGCCCAGCAGATTTGCTTATGTTCCTTTTTCTTTAGTAGCAAGTCTTTCTTTGATTTCCTTTTCTGCACCTGGAATAAGGTGGCTGATACACACACACATACACACCCACACCCAAAGGATATGACGGTATAGATATCTATGTATGCAAACAAAATTTATTTTAACTTTTTCCCCCTTCCTCTTTCACAAAAAGTAAACATAAAAAAAAGCAACGACTTTTCCGACCAAGTTATCATTTCCAGCCATAGATTTGGGGTTTATTTTGGAAGCTAAGTAAATATTCTGCCGGTTTCTCTTTTTTTACCCCCACAGCACTGAGAATGCCTGCTTGCTTCCCCCAAGTTACCCTCGTCCAGCCGCGATCCTCGCCAAAGGGCTACGCTAAAACCCGCCCGTCCCCCGCGACCTCCCCTCCTTCCCCACCATGAAAGCGAAGGCCGCCCTTTCGCCTACCTGATGCGGAGCTGGAACCGCCCCACGTCCGGACGACGCCACGCCGAGCTCAGCACCGCGGCAGGGAAACCCCCCCCCCCCACCGCCCCGGGCGCTGACTGCGATTCCCACGGCGCTTCCCAACCCGGGTCTGGCAGTCCCCGCCCCGAGGAGGGAGAGGGGAGGCGGCCACAGCTCGGGCAGCCTCCCTCCTCGCCAGCTTCACTTGGCAGGGCGGGCCGGTCCTGTCAAGGCGTTCGCCGCTCCCCCGTTTTCGCCGTTAGCCGTTCAAGCCCGCCCGACGCCGGCAACTCACCTGCCGTGGCCTCGCGGGGGGGGGCGGCGGGTGAGGGGGGAGGCGCGGCGCTGGCTTCTCCCCCTTCGCTCCCCCCGTCTGCCCCGCCGGCGCGTGCCTGGCCGGGGCTCGCTCGCTCCCGCGCGCGGCCGGCTCGCCGCAACAGCAAGCCCAGCCGGGCGGCAGGTTCCGTGTCGGTTCAAAATCACGCGCCTAGCGCCATTCCGACGCCGCTGCATCCCATAATAGCCGACTACGGCGCCCTGACAACCGACGTCGCGCCACCCCTACGGAGCCTCAGCCCCTGCGCTCCATTCTCCCGCCTTCCCTCCTCAAAGCTCGCCCCGACTTCCGGCGTTCTTCCCGCCCACCTGTCTCTAGCCGCTTCCGGCAGTGGAGGAGAGAAACAGAGAGAAAGAGAGAGAAAGCGCAGCGCCCAACCGCTCTAGGCGGGCCGGCTCTGTGGTTACTCAGCGGCTTCCGAGCCCGTGCCGTCTTCCCACCCGGGCGGGACGGGCGAGTCTGGCAACGGGGGAGCAAGATGGCGGCTTCCGTCAGACAGGAGCTGACCCAGCTCATGAGCTCCAGCGGCTCCCACAAGGACCTGGCGGGGAAGTGAGTGAAGCGGCCCCAACGGCCGTTTTTTTTCCCCCTCTTGGTGGCTGATAGCGGATCGGGAAGGGGTGGGAATAGATAAATAAGCCGGAGCGAGTCTCCATTCTGAGGTTCTGGAAAGGCCGGAGTGGGGTTGTTAACCGAGGGAAGCCATGGATGGGCCTACAGGAGCGAGTGACTAGTTTGGGGTTCGGAGCTGGAGACCCAGGTTCAGGTCAGTTACTCTTTCTCAGCATCTTTTCGGATTATTGATACAGGGTAACATACACACACCCAGCATAATATAATAAATAAAAAAGAATGGTAGCGAATCGTAGCAGATGTATTTTATTTTGTATGTATTTATGATTGGATTTTTATCTCGCCTTTAGTTTATGAAACTCGAGGTGTATATAATGCTCCCGTAACAACAACCCTGTGAGGTAGGCTAGGCTGAGAAAAGTCATCTCCCCATACTTAAGGGAGGATTGACACCCAGGTTTCTACCTTAGCACCAACTTTTATTATACGCTTATAACTTAGTGCAGTACAAACACAGAGTAAAGCAATGCAGTAATATGATACAATTAACTAAAGCATAAATATAAAACAGCTAATTAACAAAAATCCAGGACTTATGATAATTAGATTTTGAGAGCATTGGTTCAAGACTGCAAACATACCTAATACTGCTGCCTCCTATTTTCCTCACAATGACCCTGTCAAGTGGGTTAGGCTGAGTGATTGACCCATAGCTCTAGCTGGTTTTCATGCCTAAGACAGGCCTACAATTCACAAGCTTCTGATTTTTACGCCAGCACAATAACTACACCAAGTTGGGTCTCTCTTAATTTCTGTACATTCAAAGTAAACAGGTGAAAATCTGCTTTTTAGTGATTACATAGGCGCTTTTTAAAACAAAAAAGCATGTTCATCTCACAATTGCTGGAAACCAGGCTATAGTTCAAGAACACAATGGGAGATCTGAGTCAAAGGTGTATTCTAGTTAATCCTCAAAAGCTAAACAGATAGAAGACTGCCATAAAATAGCCAATGTAGGCTAGACTGGAAAATGTTTTTTTTAAATCCTGGAATAAAGCAATGGCAATTATTTAATTATTGTGGCCAAGAAAACACCATGGACATTAAGTTACCAGAGTTGAGTTTGGCTCAGATATGACTTGACTTGATTTGAAAATGGGATTCCATGCTGGCAGGTTCCCTTGCCTGCCACTGCAGTCAGCTCCATATGTAGACAGCAGAATATTTGCCAACAGTCAGAATATTTCATCCAAGTGCTGTCAGAATTGAGATTAACAATATTGTATGCACCTCAGTATCTTCAAGGGAAGGTCAAAAAAGAAAAGAGGTATTCATGACTACTCCATTGAATCTCTGCTTCTTTGTGTGCACCAACATATATACAAAAGGACCAGGTTTCAAAGTACAGTACTGCATCTGCTATTTGACTCAGTTTTTCCTAATCCTCTGCTCCCAATTCCACTGTGGAGAGGTTAACTGCTAAAGACTACTTTGCTAAACAAGAAAATGTTCACAAGATGGATGATTTCTAAGAAAATGGGAAAGAGAAAACATGAACTTGACTGAACTGGTGCAGGTTCTAGGAATTGACTGCCTACTGCTGCAATAGTTGAAGACTTTCTCTTTCCCCCCATTACAGAAGGAAAAGTACTTAAAGTATTTAGATGTTAACATTTCTCTTTGGACTGAAAATATCTGTAGAATGGAAACCTGCTCTCAGAATAACTTTTTCACCTGTAATCTCCAGTGCGTGTCACAAGAATTTTCAGAAACTTTCAGAAGAAATTAAAGCATGTCTAAGAAGTTATGTAGGGGTAGGAATCAATTCAGTCTCTCTCTCACACACTGCTGACTGAGCATTTATTCTTTACTATGAATTACAATAAAGAACTAGTTCCACTTTATGTCTCTATACAATGACCTATTTTTATTCTAAGTTAATACACATATTAATAGCTACTTGCAAACTTAACATAACTAAAAAATTGTATATGCATTTATCAAGCATCTCTAAAAGTTTCTTGCAATTTAAGTATCAACATTGCTCCTGCTTTCACTTCAAGTTAGAAAAGCCATCTGCTGTCTAAAGTGGAAGAAGAAAAGAACACACACAAACATGTTTTTTCTAATCTAAACCCCTTGCCAGCATCTGTCCAATCTTTTTTTGCCACTCTAATGGTTGTCAGTCCAGGACTATCTTCTTATATATTTGCCTTTTCCATTACTAACTTGGTTTCTTTTTGGTTTGCTGCAGATATCTTCTGATTCTCTATTCTTTGCTTCTTCAACTAGTTACTACTGCTTAGTCACCTGTTTTTTCCAATTGCCTCTGTCATTGTTAATATCACCTGTAGGCCCTAAAGCAGAGATGGGCAATTATGGCCACTTTATGAGGGGGGAGGGGGGGACATCAACACACAGAATTCCTGATCCAGCATGACTGGCTCAGGATTTCTGGGAGTTAAAGTCCACAAGTCATAAAGTTGCCTACCCTAAAGTTACCCTCCACTTATTTACTTTGAGTGTTATTACATTATCTCAAAAAGAAAAAAAACATATACAGTACAGTACCCTATTCCAGGCTGTAGATGCTCCAAGGAGTTAGGACTTTTTCTAATCATCTTTATGCCTTCAGCCATGTCCCTATCAGGCCACCAAAGAAAACAAACTTTACTCTTAATACTATTTATAATGCTGAAAGCATTAGTTTCTTGTCTCCTGGCAGCTCATCATATTGAATGAAAAGCAGAATATTTTAAAACAGTATTTTGGCAGCTCTCTGGACATTGGATGTTGGTTTTAGTGTAAGCTCAGGAAATAATATAAAATTGAATTTAAACATCAATTCACTTTTTTGTACAATCTTGCAATATTAAATAATAATAATAATAATAATAATAATAATAATAATAATAAAGTTGGAAGGGACCCTGGAGGTCATCTAGTCCAACCCCCTGATCAGGCAGGAAATCTATACCATTTCAGACAAATGGCTATCTGAATACGTCTAGCAGAGCTAACCAAAATTATACAAAAATTGTTCCATATTCTCATGTAAAAGAATTTGAAAACTGGCAAACCAAATCAAGGCAGTTCTTTAGGGTTAATGAGGTCTGGCAGAACCTGTCTGACCTCTTGAACACCTCAGCTCATCATCTAAGCACAATTGGATCTGGCTAATACTGGCATGTATAGTCGAAGCTATGGTTTTCTCAGTAGTAATGTACAGCTACGAAGAGTTGGCTCATAAGGAAGGCTGAGCGCTGAAAAATGGATGCTTTCGAATTTGTGGTGCTAGAGAAGACCCTTCAAAGTCCCTTGGACGGCAAGGACAACAGATCAGTCAATCCTTCAGGAAATCAACTCTGACTGTCCTTTGGAAGGACAGATACTGAAGTTGAAGCTCAAATACTTTGGCCACCAAACGAGAAGAGAGGACTCATTGGAGAAGACCTGATGCTGGGAAAGATGGAAGGCAAAAGGAGAAGGGGGCGGCAGAGGATGTGATGGTTAGATAGCGTTATTGATTCAATGAATTTGGCAAACTCCAGGAAACAGTGGAGGACAGGGAGGCCTGGCATGCAGTGGTCCATGAGGTCACAAAGAGTCATACACAACTTAGTGACTAAACAACAAGACTGGCATGAAATCCCATTGGGGAATTTTAATGTAGGAAGACAGCAATAGCAAATTGTTTCTATATTTCAGCTAAAAAAAAGACACAAATGTGTTAGCAATTGAGGGCATCTGTACTTTGGTGGAAGTTGCAGAAATATGGCAAGTATAAGATTATATCCAACAGCCTTCCTCAAAAACCAAAAATGATAGCCTCTCTATTCTGAAAACAAAACGGTCATCCAAATTTTAGATCTGCTGCCATCATAAACAATATTCCAGGAAATAAGGAATCGAAGAATAGGGTAACTTTTATAGGTTTATGCAGTGGTTCTCAACCTGTGGGTCGGGACCCCATTTGGGGTCAAACGACCATTTCACGGGGGTCGCCAAACAACGCAGTCCGCCAATTTTTTCCCCCTTTTCCTTAGCTGTGCTACTCCCTTTTATTCTATTGGCTTTTGAAAGCCAATAGAATAGATTCTCTTGAATAGAGTCTAATTCTATTAGCTTTCAAAAGCCAATAGGAATTGTCCAGGCTGTCTCTGCCCTGCTGAGCCCGCCAAAAGTCCCATTCTGCAAACAGTGCTGCACCAGTTGAGTAGTCCTTGACTTACAACCGGTTGAGTAGTCCTCGATTTACGACCGGTTGGGGGTCGCGGCATTAAAAAAGTTGAGAACCACTGGGTTAAGGAAAAGCATTCAAGCTTATTTGTATAGTATTATCTAAAAATTGAAAGAAATGAAATACAAAGTTCCTATTTAGAATGCAGAGCTAATTGCCATTTATTTTTATAACTTTCTGGCAGGTATCGACAGATATTGGAGAAAGCAATTCAGCTGTCAGGAGTGGAACAACTGGAAGCTTTAAAAGCTTTTGTAGAAGCAAGTGAGTTTATTAAACTGCAGTTGGTGTTGCATGACAATGTGGTACATACTGAACTGCTGTCAGGAAAAGGATATTGAGTAGTGTCACAATTATATATTTAACCAGATGTTTATAGAGTTTTGCTTTATTAATTAATTGAATTATGCACATTTGGACATTTTTAATAAAATTGAAGCAATTTATTTCTTGACTTACATTTTTTATCATCCTATTCCAGTGGTGGCAAACCTATGGCACAGGTGCCAGAGGCGGCACTCAGAGCCCTCTCTGTGGGCATGCGCGCCGTCGCCCCCGTCCTAGGCCTTCAGCTGGGTTTTATAAAACCTTTTCGCTTTAGGCCTCCGCCGCCATGTGCAAAAAAAAAAAGGTTCAATCAATCAATTTCAACTTCTCGCAGGGAAAAAAAAGTTGGAATTGATTGATTGAACTTTTTAGTCCCAGCCAGTCTGCCGTTACCACCGTAGCCATGCCCACCCAATGGGCCACACCCACCCAATGGGCCACGCCCACCCAATGGGCCACACCCACCCAATGGGCCATGCTCACCGGGCACCCGATGATGCATAATTGGGTTTTGGGTTGCAGTTTGGGCACTCGGTCTCTAAATGATTCGCCATCACTGTCCTATTCATTTGCATAGCCTTTGGAATATTACAAAACAGGCACGATAGAAGAACTGACAATTTAATGGGAACAGTTTTACTATACACAAAGTGGAGAGCTTAACTAAAATCTCTGGCTTTATATTTATAACTAAATTTTGGAGATTTCATAGTTGTTCTTAATAAACCCTGGCGTTCTTTGTTGAATATATTTATTTGTAGTAAAGCCAGCTAGGAATTACTCCTGTTGAGAATGCTTGGGATCACAACTTGTGATGAGTGAAAAACTGATTTTCTGAGTTGCTCTGGGATTTTTTTCTTTTTTCTTGGTTTATAAAGTGTCAAATTTTAATAATCTGAATTCTTTACAAGTAACTTGACTTTCTTGTTCCTGTGCATGTAATACTTTCCAGTGGCTAAAAAATGATATTTTAATTGTTTGTTATGGTAAGAGTTTCTGTGTAATTGGGCCATATTTTGTAACTATGAAAAATAGTTATTTTTGTGTCCACGAGATTGGAAGTTCTTGTTCAAGGAAAGTACTTAGGAGTGGATTGTTAAAAATAAATTTTAAGAAAGCAAGGGAGGTTAGAAATACTGTAGGAAACACTGTAATGAAATTTCTGAATATTTCTCATTAGTCCAAAGGAATCACTTTGCAAAATAACTTTACTAGCATAAATATTTGAACACCTGAACCTCATTATTGTTCTGAATCGCTTGTGTTGTTGCAGATTGAGCAAGTTCTTATCTGCCTGCTTCTGGATTATGTAATTTGGCATTGTGGTAGCATATTAGCAAAGCAAAACTATGGAATAGAACTCTGGTGTGCTGGTGCAGAAATTTTATGTCCCATACAATCATTAGATAGTTCAGAGGTTGGAAACTTTGCCCTAGAAACTGTTGGCTTATTTAATTGTTCAGGCTTACTAAGAAAATGAGTTATGATCAGAGTACCGTTTAAAATGACAACACAAAAATGAAATTATTTCTCTTTGTGTCTTTTGTATCAGTGGTAAACGAAAATGTCAGTTTAGTCATTTCACGCCAGTTGCTGACTGATTTTTGCACGCATCTTCCAAGTCTTCCTGATAGTACAGCCAAAGAAATCTACCACTTCACATTGGAAAAGATCCAACCTCGTGTAATTTCATTTGAGGAGCAGGTAAGACAAGACATCATGGATAACACCCCCACCCCAGATCCATACTTAACTGACAATCTTCCAACAGGAGGGAGCAGTTTGTAATTTTATGGCACACCCTTAAAATGTGCTTTAGATTATTGTTGGATCATCAACAGATTTTGAAGCAGTTGTCACAAGGAGGGATGTGCTATGGGGAGAGAGAACTGTAGCTGAAGAGGAATCCCCCCCAGTAGCATTTGGGTTTCTGTTATATTCAACTATTATTCAGCATATATCTTTGCATTGGAAGCATTTCACTGGTCACTTGATTAACCACTTGTTTGTTTCAGCTTTGAAACTACTAGACTATAACCAGAAAACCCTGGTTACGTATCTCAACATGCTTTTGCTGCTAGGCAGTTTTGTATTGCAATTTTTTTCTTTTAAATTGTTCATACTTTGGTTTGATACAAGAAGAAACCTCTAAGAATGTTTTTAAAAGAATTGTAGGAAGAAAATATGTATCAAATGACGTGCTTCCCATGTAATGACAACATGTATGTTGTTTTCTTTCTATGTCATTATGCTTGTTATTTGGTTCTTTGATTGCAGTAAATTTTCATTCATTCAAAACAAAACAAAACAAACAACAAAAAGAACCATAGCAAAACTCTCTTGGGATTCACCTTGTTGATGGATTTCATTTGGTAGATCAGTGACAATCACTCCTGTGTAAATAAGAGTCGTCATTTATCTGATTACCTAGATATTGTTACCAAGGCCATCCATCCTGAAATACATTGAATTCTAGTTAACAGGTTCATTTTCAGAGATTGGGGGAAAATGCTTGTTCTGCGAATATTTCCTCAATACATTTGTTTTGTCGACGAGGATCCTGTCAAAAGTCTGTTGGATGGGGAAAAATAGAAACAGAAGCACAAAGGCCACTGGAAAATAACCATCTTTCAGATAAGATAAGTGGGTTATAGTTTATTCTATGCCTTTGCTCTCTCTTCCTTCAGGTTGCTTCTATAAGACAACATCTGGCATCCATTTATGAGAAAGAAGAGGATTGGCGGAACGCCGCACAAGTGCTGGTGGGGATTCCTCTTGAAACAGGACAAAAGTAAATAGAACAGTTATTCCTTTTTTCTTTAACACAAAAAATTGGTATGTTCTTTGCCTTTTTTCAGTACTTTTCACTCTAAAGTATTTGTGTCGTTATTGCTCTCTCACACACAATATAGTATAGAACGGGTAGGCAACCTTGGTTCTTTTATGACTCGTGGACTTCAACTCCCAGAATTCCTGAGCCAGCCATGCTGAGGGGAAAGGGAGAGATTTCCAAGCTGAGCCATGCTGGCTCAGGAATTCTGGGAGTTGAAGTCCACGAGTCATAAAAGAGCCAAGGTTGCCTACCCCTGGTATAGAAACTTAATCGTTATCAACTATTATCTTTGAAGCAGAAACATATAACTCATTTCAGCAAGCTTCTAAAAGTCTTATCCTTGTTGGCATCCTTTGTGTTAATGTCAAGTTTTTATGTTAAAATGCTTATCTCAGAAAGTGGCAGCACATGACTGATCTTAGGCAGCTGAAGTAAGTTTGGTCTAATTATTGCGGTATTTATCTGGAAGATCATCTAGGGAATACTTACCCAGTAAATGGATCAAGACCTAAAAAATATCCCCTCAGAGGCAAACTGCATCTGTATGCCTCCCTGAAAAAGTTAGGCAGGAGCTAACTTGAGGATATTTTTACTTTAGGTAATACTTAAAACTGAGCCATTTAGCAATAGGATAGGGTTGTTGTATTCCTGATTATAAAAGGATGCAGTTTTGTGCCAGCTGCATTTTAATAGTCTGCTTCCTTAAGCTACTGTAATTGAAGCTATGGGTCTGTCTCTTAAAACTTGTAGCCCACATCTTGCTTCTTGTTAGAAACAATATTCTGGAGGCTTTGTGCTTTGTTTTATTGTTGTAGTTGGTACACTTGATTTTTGTTTAAGCTTTGTGGCCATTTAATTGATTGAATGTGATTTAGATCCAGCCAGTAAATGCTCAGCTCCATACAGTCACCCTAACTCTACCCTGAATTAAGGGATTACAGGGTCTTGAAAAGGGAGTTAATGAGATTTAGATAGGCTGGGTGGAAACTAATTTGAATATCATTTCCTTTGCAAGGTTGTCATTAGCATATTAAATCCAGTCTTTTTTTTTTAATTTGAATAGATATTTCTCAGATAGTGAAAAAAAAAAGCATGGACGTTGAACGGTTCTGACTAGGCATATTGCACTAATCTGGAAGAACAGCTTCTTTTTTATCCCTAGCTATTCATTCTTCGCTGAAAAGGTCCGGCTATTCAGTCATGATAGAATGTGAAATTGCCATCGGTTGTTGAACACAGCCATCTCCAATTTTTTATTTGTACAGTTCTTGCTTTGTTGCAAAATCTTGCAGACTGTTCAAGTGTACTTTCAAAAATGTGTGATGCTGTTCAAATATGGGACTGAAACTGCATCTTCTCCCTCACTATTCAAGGCAGTACAATGTGGATTATAAATTGGAAACGTATCTGAAAATTGCCCGACTTTATCTGGAAGATGATGATCCCGTTCAGGCTGAGGCTTATATAAATAGAGCATCTCTTCTTCAGAATGAATCAACCAATGAGCAGTTACAAATTCATTATAAGGTAAATATTTACAATAGGTTTTGTTTTACAGCTAGCGTAATGCTAGATTATAATACAACTATTAATCTTTAAGGCTCCTTGCATGCTTAGTTATGACTTACTCTTCTGTAATATGCTCTCACGGTGGTCTGTTGTATTAAACAAAATACTTTTAACTAGTAGATATAAGAGCATGTGCTGTATCAATAGGATATTGAGAAATATCCTCTAGGTTTAAAATTGTCCAGTGATCCATGTTTCTTCCCTCAGCAGTAACAATAATAAAAATTGGTGATAGAGCTGATATGCAGAGGCAAAGTTTCACAAAATGCCCTGCTGACAGATATTATTTCCACAGTCTTTTTCTTTTATGCTGCTCTGAACTGATGGCATATATGGTAGCTGCGGCCTCCTCAGAGAGACACATTTCATAATATCCAAACCGAACAGAGCAAATGAAGTCCAAGTAATTGTAGCTGTTTTGATTTAATTTTTGTTTTAAAAATAGCATCAGTGGTTTTGACTGCCATATATAAATGCTATTCTGCAACATTAGAGATGCTATTTTGGCAGCAAAAATGATCTTTAGTTATACATTTGTTCCTTGTTCCAGGTATGCTACGCTCGTGTTCTTGACTACAGAAGGAAATTCATTGAAGCTGCCCAAAGATATAATGAGCTTTCTTATAAAAGCATAGTCCACGAAAGCGAGCGACTCGAAGCACTGAAGCACGCCTTACATTGTACTATCTTAGCCTCAGCAGGTAAAATGATAGGTGAAGATTTATCTCTTGTTTTATTCGAATCTTTGGAATATCCTCAACTTACGACCAGAGCTGAGTCCAAAATTTCTGTTGTTGAGTGACACAGTTGCTAAGTGAATTTTGCCCTAGTTTATGGCTTCTCTTGCCTCAGTTGTTAAGTGAGTCACTGCAGTTGATAAGTTAGTAACCCTGTTGCTTAAGTGAATCTCGTTCCCCCATTGACTTTGTTTGTCAGAAGGTCGCAAAAGGTGATCACAGCAACTGGTCATAAATATGAACCAGTTGGCAAGCATCTGAATTTTGATCCCATGATCATGGGGATGCTGCAAAGGACGTAATTGTGAAAAATGGTCATAGGTCACTTTTCTCCATGTCATTGTAACTTTGAACAGTCACTAAGTGAACTGTTGTAACTTAAGGACTACCTGTCATTATATTACATTACATTAACATAACAGGATATAATGGTATTTTGAGGGGACTTGCATGTAAAAACTCGCTTTCCTAACACTATAAACAACAAACAAGGGCAGAAATGAGTCTTGAATTTTAAAGTACAATTTGTCGAATTCTGTAGGTTTCCTTTATGGGAGTTTAGTTTGTGACTCATGAATGCATTTGTTTAAACAAAATATTCCTAAACGCTTGTTATGAATGTCCCAAGATGTATTCAGATGCCATAGTCTTTCCTCAAACCAGACAGTGCCCTCTTGAACTTAAACCCTGCTGTTTGCAATGAAATTATTTAAAATCTGTATTTTTAAAAGAGCAAATGAGTTACTACTTCAACTCCCAAATTACAGTTTTAGCAGTTCCTTAATTATATTACTAATCCAGAAAATACAGCGTAGGTCTATTGCTAGTCTGTTTCAAACACTAAACAAGAGAGTATGGGATAATTCTCTACTGAAGTTAATAGCGAAAGCTAAATTAGTTCGTTCATTATTCACTGGGTAGGTTCAATGTAATTACACCATACAGAAGGCTTCCCATAAGTCTATAATAAAATCAATTTATTTATAGCAAACACCAGGTTGCTTTTACCAAGACCAAATTAAATGTTTCCCCCTCACACACGCTGAATGAAAGATTTGAGGATCCTTCTATAAAAATTTTCCGTTGCAGTGACAAAGGAGCAAAATTGGTGCAGCGTATTCTAATTGATAATTTCTATATTGTGGTTTTCTGGGACTTGGCCTGACCCTTATAAAAAACTACCAGGCTGATCTTATTTGGAATGTGTTAAAAGTATGTTGCCGGACAGAAATTCCAAGGTGATTCTTGCTACAGCCAACTAGCGGCTGTTAGGTTAGGGGCACAAGTTGTGGATTAATGAGGAAAGTGTAAAATATTAGTCTGCTAGTAAATCATAGCTGAATATTTTTATGACTGTTTTACTTAGTGTAACTGGACTTGTAATATTTGTATTTCGTTTTTTATTTGGGTCTGGACTGTAATAAATCGATTGAAGTAGCAAAACCATGATTAATAGTACATATTTCCCCTATGTTTGCTGTCTTGAGTTATTTATAAAAATAATAAAGGGGGGGCATAAAAATAAATAATGAAATAAAGTGACTGTAATGGGGAATACATGAATGACAGACACTGCGAAGGTTGTAAATGAAGGCATTGGTCGCAAAGTTGTTTTTCATCACTTTTGTAGCTGTGAACAGCTAGTGTCTGAGGCGGTCACTAAACAAAGACTACCTGTAATTGTGTCCAGTTAATCAACAGAAGTCAACCTCAACCTGATGGCATTTTTTCTTAACCACAAGATCAAGTTGGACAAATTGGTTGAAATTCGGCATTGGCAAACAGATCAAGTGAAGAAAAAAGAAAACTGTTGCAGATTTTTACACACTGTACCTGGGCTGGAATAGTTAACTGTATATTCTTGCTGTGTTTCAGGACAGCAGCGCTCCCGAATGTTAGCCACCCTCTTTAAAGATGAAAGATGCCAGCAACTTGCAGCCTACGGGATACTGGAGAAAATGTACCTTGACCGGATTATAAGGGGGAACCAGTTGCAAGAATTTGCTGCCATGCTCATGCCTCACCAGAAAGCAACAACAGCTGATGGTACTTTTATCTTTGCCTAGTATGGGGCATCGTATCTGAAACACTGAATAGGATACACCAAACATTTTTTTTCTTTTCATTTCTTCCCTTCAAAAATGAAGAAAATTGCTCACTGAGTACTTGGCCAGTGTTATACATTGATGTATTGGGGACACGCATTAGATTCAGATGAATCCCAAACTGGTTTTTCCGACACAAACCGGGATTTAGTCCTACATCACAAAGCTGCAGGGCGATGAAGGCCACCCAAACCGCAGGATCTGTATCTGGAGAGGAAAAAATCTGTATTTTTGTTCTCCTGCTTACATATATATGAAAAATAGGATAGACAGGGCAAAGGATGGAACTATGTGACTGACTGGTCTGTCATGTAGAATAGAAAGTTCTAGAGACAGGAATGATTGATTGGCATGCTTTGGAAGGATTATGGAGTCTTCTGTAATGCTGGCTCAGAATGTTCCGTGTTTTTCACTGGATTTATTTCTCTTGAATGCTAGAGCTGTAGTTGAAATAGGTCCAAGAGGAACTGTTTGTGGCTGATTTCTGTCTCTGGTTTCAATTTGTCCTAATCAGCTCTTAGCCTGCTTTCCCAATTCCTTTCCTAAAATCCTTTCTCGCCATAGTTGCTAAGTGAATTTGGCAATCATTTAGTTAGTAACATGGTTGTTAAGTGAATCTAGCTTCCCTATTAACTTTGCTTGTAAAAAGGTCGCAAAAGGTGATCACATGACCCTGGGACATTGCAACCATCATAAATGTGAGTCACTTGCCAAGCATCTGAATTTTGATCACGTGGCCATGAGGATGCTGCAATGGACCTATGTGTGAAAAATGGTCATGTTACTTTTTTTAGTGCCTTTGTAACTTCAAATGGTCACTAAATGAACTGTTGTAAGCCGAGGACTGCCTATAGTAGAGGATTTCAGTTCAGCTGTCTAGTATAAATAATGTCCATTGTTTGTAATCGTAATGGCTTGTTCATTACCTTGGAGCAGGGATCTTCAAATTTGGCCCTTTTATGACTTGTGGGCTTCAACTCCCAGAATTCCTCAGCCAGGCACGCTGACTGAAGAATTCTGGGAGTTGAAGTCCACAAGTCATAAAAGGGCCACATTTGAAGACCTCTGCTTTAGAGTTTTATTGCAAATGATGCCGTTTATGCCAATGACATAAATTGTTGCAGATTCTCTATGTTCAGATTTAACAGATGTTTGGATTTAATGGAACCCCACCTTCCAAAAGAACTGTTAATTGAAAGTTTCATTGTAGTAATATATACATGTTTCTTTCTATTTATTTCTTTTATGGATCATCATTAACACATACTTACACATATATAATGCCGTATGTATTATGCATTGTGTTTATCCGTTTTGTAGCCAAACATATAGTGATATATTTTTCTTCTCAGGTTCTAGTATTTTGGACAGAGCTGTCATTGAACATAACTTGTTATCTGCAAGCAAACTATATAACAATATTACCTTTGAAGAACTCGGAGCTTTATTAGAAATACCTGCAGCCAAGGTCTACATATTTTAGTAATTCATTCATTCTTTCGCTAAACTGTAAATTGTAATGCTGAATCTTTGAGAGTCTGGTGATGGAAGTAGCATAATTGTTGAGTTTATATAAGAAATTGCAAAGATCAGGACACTAAATTGAACTGATTTTAAGAACTGTCAAAACTGAGGGAGAGCTGATCTTTGGACATACTGCAAGAGATGCAAAGACAAAAAAAGATTCATGATGTCGTATTCTTGTTGCTATAGTACTATAATTTGGGATGATGTAGTACAGTGATGGCCAACCTTTTAGAGACCGAGAGCCCAAACTGCAACCCAAAACCCACTTATGTATTGTCGGGTGCCAGGTGGGTGTGGCCCATTGGGTGAGCATAGCCCATTGGGTGGGTATGGCTGTGGTGGTAACAGCAGACTGGCTGAGACTAAAAAGTTCAATCAATCAATTCCAACTGTGCGAGATCTTTTTTTTCCCTGCAAGAAGTTGAAATTGATTGAACCTTTTTTTTTTTTTGCACATGGTGCCGAGGCCTAAAGCAAAAAGGTTTTATAAAACCTGGCTGAAGGCCTAGGACTGGGGCGATGGCGTGCATGCTCACAGAGAGGGCTCTGCGTGCCACCTGTGGCATGCGTGCTACAGGTTCGCCACTACGGATGTTGTATGACATGGTATTTTTTTCCATATATTCCATGCATACCTTCCAGATTTTGGAAAAGGTATTTCAATCTAGTTTTTTAGTTCCCATTTTTAATGTTAGAATTTAACAATCCTATTCATTGGCTCTGTTACTTATCAGCAAATGCCTGCATAATTCTTCTAACCTGTAAATTACATTGTAAAGTAAGACTCACACAGACCCACTCAGAAGTCCTGAGATTAATCTGGGACTTGCTTGGGTTGTTTGTTGATTTTTTAGGCCTTTATTCCACCAGCTCACGGTGGTGAAGCCCAGCATTCAAAACCTCAGCAGCTTAAAGGTACTGGCTAGGGAATTCTGGGAATTGAAGTCCTCAGATCTTAAAGTTGCTGAGGTTGAGAAACAGAGCTGACTCCTGTCACTTCCCCCCCCACAATATCAAACCTTTGGAAGGATGAAAAAGTAAATTAGATACCTTCATATATGTGTCCTAAAAAACATATCAGGACTGCCTTGTTTTGGTCAAGTGAAGCTGATAGGCTACTTTGTTTTGTTTTTCAGGCAGAAAAGATAGCCTCCCAGATGATAACCGAGGGACGTATGAATGGCTTTATTGATCAAATAGATGGAATAGTTCACTTTGAAAGTAAGTTTTGCTATGGGTGACTGGTGCAGGGGTCTTCAAATTTGGCCCTTTTATGACTTGTGGACTTCAATTCCCAGAATTCCTCAGCCAGCGTTGCTGGCTGAGGAATTCTGGGAGTTGAAGTCCACAAGTCATAAAAGGGCCAAGTTTGAAGACCCCTGGTTTAGTGCAACCAGCTAAGTTTCCTCCAGCTGAATAAATGAGCAGCTGGACAGGATTGGCTAACCATTTCTGCTCCATCAGCTTCTGTGCTTAGAAGCTTTTCTGCTTTCAGTGGAGCAAGTGGCCAAAATGGGAACCGCATGATTCAATGCATTTCCATGTTGTTTGTGAAGGAACACTAGGAACATAACAATCTCTGTGCCAGACCAAGCAAAAGGAGGCAATATTGTTTACCAGCTTGCTAAACTTTGCGATAAAGATACAGGTAGTCCCTCAGCACATGAGTAACTGAACCCAGAATTGCAGTCCTAAGTCATACTGGTTGTTAAGCAGGTCACCATGTGACCGATCCAATTTTCTGACATTTTGTTTGCAGCAGTTGTTAAGCAAATTCCTCGATGGTTAGGCAGACCTACTGTTTGCAGTGGGCTTTTTTTTTGGTTGGAAACTGAAAATATATGCCTGTTTCCAGCAAAAGAAGTCATAAATTGCTTTCACATGACCATAGAATGCTGCAAACGGGTGGTAAATGTGGACCAAGTGTCAAAATGTAGTCAGAAGACCATAGGATTGGAATCTGGGTCATAAGTACCTTTTGGGGGATCCATCATAACTCCGAACAGTCTCTAAGCAACTGGTTATTAAATGAGTTATTCTGGGAGTTGAAGTCCACAAGTCATAGAAGGGCCAAGTTTGAAGACCCCTGGTTTAGTGCAACCAGCTAAGTTTCCTCCAGCTGAATAAATGAGCAGCCAGACAGGATTGGCTAACCATTTCTGCTCCATCGTCTATACATCATTTTATGTAAGGCTACAACTTGGAGCAGAGATAAACAACTTGCCTAGTGAAAGTTCTTTTGGAAATAAAGTTTGAAAAAGCCTGTTTCCTAAATAATTGCCTTAATACAGATCTTTTCTCAACCAACCATCTGCCATGTGCTGTGATACCCAGGGCAGAGTGTCTGTTGATTACATTATGTCAAGCCATAAGTAGGAATGTATGGCAAAAGGTTCTTTTTCAGATACTGTGGTCACAATCCTATTCACATAGCTAACATCTGCTGAACTGTGCTCTGTGTTCCCATAGTTAATTGCTTAGTGACAAGAAACATTAACTCTTGCTGAATCCTAGTGCCATTGTCTCTGGCAGTGAAAAGGGACCACAAATTCAAAGCCACAATGTAGAAAATAAGTTTCCTGTGCTATAGGGCAGGGGTCCCCAACCCCTGGTCCATGGACTGGCACCGGGCTGCGGCATGCCAGCAACCGGTCCACACAAACAAGCAAAGCCCCATCCATGAGATGCAGGCAGAACACAAAACCAGCCCCCCTCCCGTCTGCGGAAAAACCTCTTTCCACGGAACCGGTCCCTGATGCCCAAAAGGTTGGGGACCTCTGCTGCTGGGACTTCTTTCTATAATACTATTCAGATGACAGATCACTTTGGAGGTGTCATGTCAACTAGCTACATGATTGTGGTTCTATTAATGACACTGTATCAAGAATTAATCTGAAGTTAGAAGTAGGCTTTCCTGAAGAGTGTCAATTATAATTATAGTGGGAATACCCAAGAGCATTAGAAGTTTTGTCTTCTGAGTCTCTAGTGAAGTGTGAATGTAATAATTTCCAGTGGCCCCAACGGAAGCATAATTCACCCAAATTACTGGATGGTTATTCAGGATACGATGAAAGAATCTTACGTAGTAATAATCATTTTAAAACACTGCTTTTTACAACTACTCCATATCACAACCCTTGTTGTGATAAACAGGTGATCTGGTCCAGGGATAGGCAACCTCGGCTCTTTTATGACTCAGGGACTTCAACTCCCAGAATTCCTGAGTCAGCTATGCTATGAGTCAGGAATTCAGCTATGCTGACTCAGGAATTCTGGGAGTTGAAGTCCATGAGTCATAAAAGAGCCGAGGTTGCCTATCACTGGGTTAGGCTGTGCTGTTTCATCCCTTAGAACAGACATGTCAAACTTGCGACGTGATGTATCGGAACTTTTCCCCCATTGCTGACAATGGGGTAGGCGCGGTTTCCTCATGACGCATCCGGCCTGCGGGCCGGCAGTTTGACACACCCCCCCCCGCCTTAGAATCAGGACTTGGGGCTGAATATTTATATTGGGGACCTCTGTGCTATAGCACCTGTCGGTGATTCTTCCTTCAACCTTCAGATGGCAGTGTATATACAGTGAAAGTGCTCTAAATGTCATGTTCCAAAATATCCAGAATGTTTGCTAATGCTTGTCATGTATAATACTAACTACGTTTATCAGAATGAAAGTTAACCAAAATGAAGATTGCTGATTTTATGTTTTTGTTTGTTTGTTTTAGCTCGTGAAGCCTTACCCACATGGGACAAACAGATCCAATCACTTTGCTTCCAGGTTAACAATCTTTTGGAGAAGATAAGTCAGACGGCTCCAGAATGGACAGCACAGGCAATGGAAGCTCAAATGGCTCAATAGACTTTCTTCTTTTCTCCCCCCCCCCTCTTTGGATGGTGTTTTTTTTTTTTTTCTAAAAATGTGAAATAAACCTAGGAAAATTGAACTTCTGGCTTTGGTTCTACTTGTTGCTGTTAAGAACCTTGATAAGTGACACAGACTGAACATTCTTTTAAGCTGTAATTTAAAAAGAGGAACAGGTTTAAGTTTTATATTAAAGTTTTGGTTGCCATGTAACTTTGAGAATGTTTGTGTGTTGTGAAAATTGAAATTCTGTTCTCTTTAGATAACATTTGCTCCAATAAAAATGGGATGGAAATTGAGCCGTGATTTGGTATCTGGGTACTTCATTTGCCGCATTTTTATTGGTCTTTACCAAAATTAAATTACTATTAAATCAAAAACTGTTAAGCATTAAAATGTAAGTCTTGCCATTTATCTAACAGATACATGTTATCCAAGTAGGCTGAAATATTATATAGGTAGCGCCAAAGGGGCTTTTTCAAAAGGCAACTGGACTTTGTTTTTCCTTGAAGACATTTTGTTTCTCATCCGAGAAGCTTCTTCAGTTCTGACTGAATGGTGGAGGATGGAGGGATTTTATAGTCCTTGCAGTCATCTGGTTGTTAGCACTCTCTCTGAGAGTCATTGAGGCAAATTGGAGGTTTTGTTTGTGCCCTCAGGGTCACCTGAATAGCGCAAATGGGTGTGGAACCAGTGGTTCAGAATATGGACTTTGAAAATGTGGGGAGAGAGGACTGTTGATTTGAAAGAGGGTAAAAGAGACCTTCTACATTAAGATTGAACAGCCCTCAACAAAGGGGGAGGGATATGACATCACTTATCCCCTGTTTATACCACAGTCCTTTCAGCAGTTCCAAGAAGGCTCCACATCAGGGGTAGGCAACCTTGGCTCTTTTATGACTGGTGGACTTCAACTCCCAGAATTCCTGAGCCAGCATGGCTCAGCTTGGAAACTCTCCCTTTCCCCTCAGCATGGCTGGCTCAGGAATTCTGGGAGTTGAAGTCCACGAGTCATAAAAGAGCCAAGGTTGCCTACTCCTGCTCCACACCCATTTGCACTATTCAGGTGACCCTGAGGGTACAGATAAAACTCCAAGTAGCCTCAATGACTCTCAGAGAGAGTGCCAATAACCACAGCACTACAAGGAATAGAAATCCTTCCATCCACCACCATTCAGTCAGAACTGAAGAAGCTTCTTGGATGAGCAGCGAAATGTTTTTGAGGAAAAAGTTCAACTGTCTTTTGAAAAAACCATGACCCGGATGACTGAGAACCTCCATAGACATATTATTTAGACAGTGCTCAATTTATGACCCGGATTCAACAGCCACCCCACCCCACATCCTCCTGCGGTCATGTGATTTCATTTTGAGCACTCAGCAGCAACCAGATTGCATTTGTAGCTGTTTGCCGAATCCTGTGGTTATATGATTGATTAACAATGTGTTTTTCAGATAACAAGCATTTACTTCCTTTCTCAATGTAAGTTGAGGGGCTTCCTGACCTCACATTAATTAGAGCAGTGATGAAATATGGGCAAAGAAATTGGCTTGTGACTCTAATCCAGGGTTCCTCAAACTTGGCCACTTTAAGACTTGTGGACTTCAATTCCCAGAATTCCCCAGCCAGCCATGCTGGCTGGGGAATTCTGGGAATTGAAGTCCACAAGTCTTAAAGTGGCCAAGTTTGAGGAACCCTGCTCTAGTCAGTAGTGCTTGGAATCTGATATAAATTATTGCAATGGTACACTATGAGTTTTTTTCTGGCATTCAGTTGAAAGTAATTACAAGCCCAGGTCAAGGTAACCTGGGGTTAAAAATCAGCGTTCTATTACCACACAGAAAAGTAATCAGAGGCAGAAATGCACATGAACCTCACAGCTAATTGTTACCTGTGTTTTACGTACATTCAAAGCTATTTTTTGTTATCTGTATTGTGTTAATGTTAATGTTAATTCCTGAAGTATCCAATTTCAAACTTTCTTTTATGTGTTAAAAAGAAAGTTTGAAATTGGATACTTCAGGAATTAACATTTCCTAAAGAGCAAGAGTCTGTGAAAGTTGGACCATAAGAAAGGCTGAGCGCCAAAGAATTGAGGCCTTTGAACTATGGTGCTGGAGAAGACTCCTGTGAGTCCCCTGGACTGCAAGGCGTTCAAACCGGTCAGTCCTAGAAGAGATCAACCCCGACTGCTCTTTAGAAGGCCAGATCCTGAAGTTGAAACTCAAATACTTTGGCCACCTAATGAGAAGGAAGGACTCATTGGAGAAGAGCCTAATGCTGGGAAAGATTGAGGGCAATAGAAGAAGGGGATGACAGAGAATGGCTGGATGGAGTCACTGAAGCAGTAGGTGTGAACTTAAATGGACTCCAGAAGATGGTAGAGGACAGGAAGACCTGGAGGAACATTGTCCATGGGGTCGCGATGGGTCGGACATGACTTTGCAATTAACAACAACAACAACAAAGAGCAAGAGTAGTTCAAAATATATCAAACTTTAAACTCAGCTGTGCACACTTATTGACTGTACGAATTAGAGAGTTTTATTTTTGCCAGTAGTTTTCAAGCATGGTAAACCATGATGGAACTAGATTTTGAATAAACCACAATTACTGGGTTAACACTATTCATAAGGCATGGGACATGATTTACAAACATTAATAGCTAAGTGAGCACAAATATGCTAAATCAAAATGAAATCCAGCCAATAACTGTTTTATTCCCCCATAAAGTAGTTATGTGCGATGCTGTACTCATCAAAATTAGAGAGGTTAGTCCAGCACTGGTATCCCTTAGGGCAGGGGTAGGCAACCTTGGCCCCTTCATGACTTGCGACTTCAACTCCCAGAATTCCTAAGCCAGCCATGTTGAGGGGAAAGGGAAAGTTTCCAAGCTGAGCCATGCCAGCTCAGGAATTCTGGGAGCTGAAGTCCACGAGTCATAAAAGAGCCAAGGTTGCCTACCCCTGACTTAGGGCTATCTGTGTTTTTTCAGGTTCTTTCAGATTGGAGTTGACCTGATGCTCAGAAGCAAAACCCACAAATAGTACTGTATGTTCAAAACTGGTCCCAAGTACATAGGACTAATGTTTTTATTTGGTGCCATTCCCTTTCCTTAACAATATAAAGGGGAATTAGGAAACTCTCAGAATTCTTTGGATCAAGATAAAATGACAGATGCACAAAGGAGAAAAGCTATTCTAATTTATAATTTGAATTTGAACAACATATGTATTGTAGCTGATTTTGGTGTAAATTTAATAAACTCAGTTGTTTATCAACATACTTTTTCTTCCTTCTAAAGTTGGCTGCTGAAATGAAAGTACAGAAGTCAGAGAACTAGAAACCTGTTTTGTTTTTTGCAAAAACCTTGTTCCCTAAATCTAAACCCATAGCGACAACATCTGTAATTTCTAGTCTGCAGCTGGTTTGATTTTGTCAAAGAAAATCTGACAAGTATGAATCATGCAGAAACCTAGACAAGGTAACTCCGTTTATCAGGTAGTCCTTGACCAGATGACCATAATGGAGCCTGCCTGTTACGATCAAATGTTGTAATAGGTATAAAATGGGTCGGTCACACGACTCACCTTAATTTTATCACCTTTTTTGTGGCTCTCATTAAGTGAATGCAGCAGTCGTAAAGCAAATGCCACAATTGTAAAGCAAATTGATGCTTTGCTATAGGTGCAGCTTTGCTGTAAACAACTAAATGCAACCATTTTGCTGACTGAAGAGGAGACACAGCCACTGGAACTTCTAATTTGGGTTGAAGTGCTCTTTTTCCGGACAGTTGTAGCTTTAAAGCAAGGGTCTTCGAACTTGGCCCTTTTATGGCTTGTGGACTTCAACTCCCAGAATCCCTGAGCCAGCCATGCTGAGGGGAAAGGCAGAGTTTCCAAGCTGAGCCATGCTGGCTCAGGAATTCTGGGAGTTGAAGTCTACAAGTCATAAAAGGGCCAAGTTTGAAGACCCCTGGCATAGATCCTACTAACAAGCCTTGATAAGCAGCATAGATCCCAAATTCTAATCCTTGCTTTTCGGAAACAAGGTGATCTCTTTTTTTTCATGAAAATCAACTTTCACTTCCTTTTATGTAATGTCAAAGTCAAGCAAATTTGATTTCTAGAATTAGCTTCACAGGATGCATGTGTTCTCTAAGCTCTTTTTAAAACTACATTTGAATTTGCATAGTCTGCATTGTTAGCAAGATCTACTCAAAACGAACCACAAGATGACAGAAGAAGGGAATAATTTTCCTTCTCCAGGAGCTTCTCTCACAACTTGATGTCTCTGTTGATCTTTTAGCCCAAAGTTATACCCTTGAGTGAGGGTGCAAATCTGAAGTTGCCTGTGACACTCCCAATTTTTGAGCACAACCTTTGGAGATTTGCAGAAATTGCTGTCTTACTGTAATTTTCAGTTTACAGAAGGGAAAAGAATAAGCCAAGGTCAAAGACTAAATGTTTAACTTGATTTGATTATAGTAAAACACCAAATAACTTAACTGGTAATCTTTCAATTACAACTATATAATAATAATAATAATAATAATAATAATAATAATAATAATAATAATAATAATAATAATAATAATAATAATAATAGTCAATTGCAAAAGGCGGCCTTATTAGGAACTGCTTCCATCCTGCGACGATACCTGTAATACCATCAAACATCCACATCTGCCTATCCCAGGTCCTGGGTAAGGACTCGATAGGTAGACAAAATGCCAAATCCAGTCTGAACATCTGGCTGACTGTGCGATGAATGATAATAATAATAATAATAGACGAAAAAGAACTGGAGAAGATAACAAAATACAAAGACCTACAAGTAGAAATAGAACGACTGTGGCAAAGGCAAGCAAGGGTGGTACCAATAGTCATAGGCGCCTTGGGTGCAATCCCAAAGCAACTGGAGCACCACTTGAACACCATCATCGGCATTGACAAATTCGCCATTAGTCAATTGCAAAAGGCGGCCTTACTAGGAACTGCTTCCATCCTATGACGAGATCTGTAATACCACCAAACATCCACATCTGCCTATCCCAGGTCCTGGGTAAGGACTCAATAGGTAGACAAAAATGCCAAATCCAGTCTGAACATCTGGCTGACTGTGCGATGATCGATAATAGACGAGAAAGAACTGGAGAAGATAACAAAATACAAAGACCTACAAATAGAAATAGAAAGACTGTGGCAAAGGCAAGCAAGGGTAGTACCAATAGTCATAGGCGCTTTGGGCGCAATCCCAAAACAACTGGAGCACCACTTGAACACCATCATCAGCATTGACAAAT